TTTGCAGGATGAAGATCTGACACCTGAGCAAATTGCAGGTTTGTTTTTCAACATAAATATCGTGTTTTCTTAAAGTGATGTGAATACATTTTTAGTGCTCCAGAAAGCTTTTAATAGCTTCGACCACCAGAAAACCGGTAGTATCCCTACGGAAATGGTGGCGGACATTCTGCGTTTGATGGGCCAACCCTTCGATAAGAAAATTTTGGAGGAACTCATCGATGAAGTTGATGAAGATAGTAAGTGATTAAATACTTTTGATTTCAAATTTTTAATTTTTGTATGAGACTAAAGTTCCTACAATTTTATTTGGAGTTTTATTTTGGGGATTATAAAATACTTTTTTTTTTTATATTTAGGCGTTACTACAGATACTGAATAGAAAAAATATCAACTTAAGGAAAAAAGGAATGTATTTTATCAAAGTCATGATTTTATTATTTTCAAAAAGAAAAGGACGAAATATGTCAAGTATTTTTGTGCGGAAAACTAATGGACATATTTTCTTTTTTATTTTTCGGCATTCAAAAAAAAAAAAATCGCTAGATATCATAAAAAAGCCCAAATTTGGTCATTTCTTTTCGCCTTAAAAAAAAAAAACAAAAAAAAATAAATCTTGAGGAATATTGATACACATGTACATATGTATTTTCTGCAATGAGAGAGGATTAATTTAGCGCAAACAGGTTTTTTCACAATGTTTTTTTTTAGATTTCAAAATCTAAAAATAACGTTTAAATAAAAATATAGCTTCAACAAAGTCCATTAATTTTCGCTTCGACGAAAAAATTTGTGTATCATCATGATTCACATACATATGGACCCAGTGGGAATTAGGAGCACGTAATAATACCTTATTAGCAACTTACTCTTCACCTGGCAGTCATTACCATTTCCCTGCCGAACGTCCCTTACTTTTACAAAGGCATGGCCGCCTTATGTAAGTAGGAATTTAGAATGTACATTTGGTATCAGACATACTTCTGAGCCGCTTTACAAAGTAAGTTACGTGTAATGCAGAGCAGTCGCTCGGAGTAGTTCGGCGCTTGGAAATAACTTCGGCTGCACGTTATTTTGCAACTGACAACGTAATGTGTCTTCGGAGGTGTTCATTTTGCCCTTTACTAGTAGATGACATTGGCCATGATGACAATTTTGGTACTAAAAACTGAAAGAAAACATGGCTTACCTCGCAAGGTGCTTACCTATTTTCCCAGTGGGGATGTGTATGCTTGCGTTTGTACGTGAATATTAGGGTGCTCCTTAAATTCCAACAACTAAATTTTATATGGGACAACACTTTATTTCGTTCTATTTACAAAATAAAGATATTCACGAAAGTTTTAAAGTTTTCAAATAAATTTAAGGGTCACTACCAGGGTTTTACAAAATTTAAATCTGTTAAAATTTACATATTATTGAAAATTATTTATATTAATTCATAGTCATCGCAAATGGATTCATCATGCAATATTAGGCTTCATAGACTGTCCTTTGTTTATTTTTTTTTTCGAAATAAGCACTTAAAATTTTCCTCTAAGTTTCAAGTTTACAAATAGATATCCTGAAAACTAAGAACAAGCTCATCTATAGAGGAGAGTTAATATGGCCTTCCAGAGCACAAAACGAATTCTTTTAATAAGATATGGCAACTATGTAAAATTTTAATACATGTTTTCAAACCCCGGTAGCGATCCTTAAAAATTATTTTAAACTTTTTTAAGGAACACCCTAATACATATGTATCTATCGTTCTTGTCTGGTTCCGATCCATGGAAAAATTTCTTACGGCTTTATACTCTTTGTACATATGTATGTAGGGATCACTCTCGAAAAGAGGTGCACATTCGCCACTACTTACTTTTCCCCATAAAAAAAAAATAAAAATAAAAAAAATAAAAATGAAACCGCATGAAAATAGCCATAATTATTTTGAAAAATTTCGCTAAATTTATTCCAAACAAATTTGTAAGGCACTTCAAGTAAAACTATCTTCTAAGGATATTGAGGGATACAAATTTCAAAGGACATCTTTCAACAACTTCAAACCGAAAGATCGTTAGTAAAAACCTTTTTTTGATTTTGCCTCACATTAATTTTTGGCTGGATATTCATGTTGACATAAGTATAAAGTAATTTCATAGATTTACTAGAAAATTAAAAATTTTTTAAAAACATTTGTTATTCTGCCTCGCATTAATTTTTGGCTTACTACTCGTGTTGTCATGCATATAATGTACTCTTATAGATTTACTCGAAAACTAAGAGCCCCCCCTCCCCCCTACGTTATCTTCATTACAGATTTTTGTTTTTTTTATTGGAAAATCAGTTCCATTTGAGCAAAGTATATAAGTAAATAATTTATTTTTATTAACTTATGTATTTAGTCATTCCTCGGACATTGATTTAGTTTTATTTTCTGTTAGCTGAGAAATTTTTTTTGCTTAATTTTTTCGTTTCCAGAATCAGGTCGTTTGGAGTTCGAAGAGTTCGTACAACTGGCTGCCAAATTTATCGTTGAAGAAGATTCTGAAGCTATGCAAAAGGAATTGCGCGAAGCCTTCCGTCTTTATGATAAACAAGGCAATGGCTTTATTCCTACATCTTGCTTAAAAGAAATTCTCAGAGAGTTGGACGATCAATTGACCGAAGCAGAGCTTGATATTATGATCGAGGAGATCGACTCGGATGGTTCTGGCACAGTGGACTTTGATGGTAAAAATATTGCTAAAAATCTGAACGTACTAGGGGTTGGATCCGTTTGTGTGTGTATGCGAGTGGGTCTTACGCGCTTCTAGAAGTAAGCTCATTCCATAAACTAATTTCTCCAGAAAAATAGACGATTCTACGGATTTGTAAATGGTCAAGTGCGTGTTGAGGGCAAAATGAAATTTTGGTTGAGCTCGGGTAGAGGGGAAATCAAAAGTTCAGGTTTCAGCACCAATTTTTGTCCGAAAAATCATGAGCGAAACAAGTTCAACGGTAAAATTATTAAATAAAAGTTATAAACAACGGCATTTAGTATGCCTCTAATTAATACACATATGTATGTATATAGATACATATACAAATATGCATACATAGTACGTATCTACATGTTTTACGAGCGACACTTTTATTGCCTCCGAATTTCGATTGAACACTGTCATTAGAAACGGCAACGGTTCATGTCGCCGGATGCGTAGGTGTTTTTGGACTGTACAATTTTCGTTTTGTTAATTAGCGTAGTTTGACTAATTAAAAACAGTTGATGTGTTGGGAAACAAAAATTAAGTGTATGTTAGCACTCGATGAGCAATAGGTATTGAGTTATTTTTGCTAGATTTCCTAGACATTTGGCTGTGCGACTTTTTTGCAGTAGATATCCAAAATTGTCAGTGGGCGTGCAAAATTGATGGAACTTTTCTTTCAAGAGATATGTATGTATTTACATACATTAGTATTGCTATGAATTTTTATTAGATTTCATAGATTTCACTAGTCAGAATCAGATCTAATTTAGATCGCTGATTCCGAGCATATTGTGTTACCACTTAATAGATTTTCTTGGAATGGTAAATTCAGGAAACCCTCATGAAGTTTTTAGGAAAAATTCTTGTTGGTAACAATGAATTTCCGAAGGCAATTGATGTCGACCCCCAAAGAGTTCAGCTAACTCATTAGGGTAGCAAGAATATTAACCGGAGTATGCACGGGTTTCCACCAGTCAGAAGGACTTTGCTATGACTTAAAGCGTTCAAAGACCAGCTCCCAGCTGCCTCTCTCCTTTGCGGATTTGCCTCAGTGGTTCATCGCAAGTGCGGACAGGTCCTTCTACACCTGCCTGGGCTCGTGAGTGCCCTTGCTCTCGTAGTTCATCAGTGGGTGTGGAGTTGAAGGAACTTTTCACCGGAGCGCCGTAATTCATGCGTACAACATGTCCAAGCCAGCTTAGTCGTTGTATGTCCATGTCGAAGAGTTTTTATGTGTTGCCAAGAGATACTTTGTGTTGCCCACGTTCACCGCTATACCAACCTCTTTTTAGCTTCTTTTTCTAAGCTGCAATAGGTGCTGCTGCAATTATTACTTAGTATGATGACGACGTTGAGAGAACGGCCCATTGCGGAATACCTCTACTCAGCTTACGCTGGGTGGGAGGTGCATGTAAGAGATAAGCCTAACTAAGTTGTTCCCGCCTTCGAGCTTGTTCAGCGCTATTATTATCGCCTCGCATAGCAGTCTGTATATCGAAAGCGAAGTTTTTGTCCTTAAAAGCTTTCTTTGTTAACAGATGTATGGAAAGCAGATTGTACTGCCCTTCTGTCAGGCATATATGTAGATACATTTTTAGTTTGGTAAAATAATTTTTAGAGGAATTTTTTAAGATAAAATGTGTACCAGGAAAAAAATTTATTAGCATTTTATAAGGGACGTGCTTATAATGAAATAATTTCAGTACAAATTGATAAAAAATTTATAATAACACTAGTAGCGGAACTACTAAGAGGGTTTTTTTTTTTATTCGAGTGCTTAAATGCGGGAAACACTGCAGAAACACACAGTCTTGCATATGTTTGTATAAGTGAAACCATTTGTACACAGACACATATATACACATATGTATACATTATGGTGGTCCAAAAAAAGTAATGCTCTCACCCCTAGGTGGGTTCTATACCGAAAAATTTTACCCCTTTTTTAATTTGAGATAAAAAATATTTAGAGGTAGCTCAAAGCGCTCAGATTTTTCCTTGTATTTTATACGAAAAAAACAGTTTTTCGTAGAATTCTTGAAAATCAATACTTTCCGAGCGGAAAACTCTGTTTCTTTCAGGAGAATTCCCAATAATAATACATGATACCCAATTGTTTATTTAAACAGTTTTTAATATATGCTTTTTGTTATATAGGTAAAAACCTAAAAAATGCAACGGGGACCCATAAATAATCTTTAGCATTAAAAAATGGTAAAATAAACAATTGTCTATTATTATTGAAAGTCTCCTTGTTTCTCACAAAGGTTTTCGATCGAAAAATATTGATTTTCAAGAATTCTCTACTATTTTTACGAGAAATTGTTTTTTTTTCGTATAAGACTAGATCGGTGTCACCCGCTTCGCTGAGTGTATGAAATTTCTACGTGCTACATTAGGCGTAATTTATTTTATTGAAACTCAACATACTTAAAATATGCGAAAATCAGGAGACTTTAAATTTTTTAAATATCTTCAAAATTTTCTCTCTTGTGATACTTTTTCTTACGAATGTACATGAAAATTTTTAATTTTACATTTTAAACCGTTAATTCCTATAATTCAAATTGAATGTGAATTTTTAAACATGTGGAGTCCCTGCTACACATATGTTGCATAGAAATAACGCCTTTTCAAGACTCTTCCGATTAAAACCTATATTGTAATAACTCATTAAACATAATATAATTGTATTCGAACTCAGATTTAAAACAGGTGGCAACCTTCTTCGAAATATTTTCCCATTAAAACCCTATTAATTCCCTCTTATCTGACGTCCATATTGTGATACATATTCCAATTATCAAATTCCTTTAATTCAAAAGAATTTGATTTTCAAACAGGTGCCCATCCTCATACATGTAGGTTAGGACTAAAACCCTTTCGATTTATACCCGTATTGAAGTAATTAATTTAAATTAAATGAAATAAATTTTTAAACGGGTGGCACCGCTTGTAAAACACCTCAGTAATATTTTAAATGTTCAATCTGAAGGTTTCTTAGCAGTCTTTCATAAGACACCCATATATAAATTTTTCAGATAGCTTGCTAATAATTAATTTAAATTTATCTTTTCGAACAGGTGGCAACCCTTTCCAAAATACTTTCAAACTACAACTTTTTAAGCCTCTTGTCATCCATTCTTTACAATAATCTTCAAATGAATTATTCCCTTAATTCAAGTCGAATTTATCTGTATCTATACTATTTATGTATATGTATCTATACCAAGTTCCTGTAGTCTATGAAAAATATTTTCTGATATATGATGTGCGGTATGAAAACTCCGTTTTATGGGAAGTGCAGGGTTATATTTTTCTGGTATAGGGGGTGAGAGCTTTAAAATTCCGACTTTACTTTTTTTTGGACCACCGTAGTATACATTCATATCTACATTATTGCATACATATTTCTATTTATTTATTATTATTATTCTAAAATTTTACTTTATTATTGCAGAGTTCATGGAAATGATGACAGGAGAGTAAAATTAAATTCGAAAGGGTGTGTATTGTCGTCGTCACCAAGCTATCCGATTGATATTTGGGATATACTGCGAACACGCCAATAGAAAGTTGCATAATTGCTTGCCACTGGCGGGTGTCAATCATTCACTCATATACATATTCAATATATAAATTTGTACATAATATGTATGTACGTATACTGTTGAGGCTTCAATTGTTATACTAACCATTGTCTCTCATAGAAAATTAAATATTTTGGGTTTAAGATTTCGCTATTTGTTTATTTGTATACTGAAATTTGGTAATCATACTTTAAACGTATACATACACCCATATTTGTAAAATATTGTATCTACTTCATACGCCATAAACATATCTTTGGTGTTTACCAAATATGTTGCCCATAAAACTAAAAAAACTTACGCATCTATACATATAATAAAATTGTAACAGGTCGATGTCTGTACATT